CATTTATGTCAGACATTTGCATTTTGTTCCAGAGACAGTCCTTTCGTGGACAAGAATGTCTTCAATGGTAGGAATTCTTGACAATTAGTTGGCTGGTGGCAGGCCATTAGGTGGCTCTCAAATGACCTCATTATTATGAACAGGAACAAAATTATCACAGGTTCAATACGCAATTCAGCTATTTGACTTTACTCTATTTAACCTTCCAGATGACACCAGAAATTGATATTCTTTTCTGAATAATGCAAGTTATTTCAACACACGGTAGATCAGAAAGCATGTGGTAATAGATGTGTATACATGTGTCATCCCAGGTAGAAACACGCCCAGTGTACGTCCTCATGATGCTTGGGAACAATAGCATGTTCTAATATGTGCTCTCCAGTGTACACTCATGGTGTTCACAGCGATCAAGAAGTGCAGCTTTGGAGCAGCTGGCACCTCACTCCGCTTAACAATAGTCAATTGCGATGGATCACACCTGAAGATTCAGCTGGCTCATCCATCGTAATGTAGTTAGGACAGGTTTTGAGAGTTATTTGATCAAATAACAATTCAATTCCATTTTTAAAAATTTTTATTAAAACATGACACACATGCAGAAAAGCGCACACACACTGAGTGTGCTTGCAGCACAGTGAATTTACTCACGAAGTGAATAAACCCCTGTAACTGCCCAGTGATGAGGAAAGAGAAGACAGCTAGCCCTCGAACCCCCTTCCTCCCTCTCCCTTTTATTAACATCCCATCATCTCCAAAGTTTTCCACTCTGCTAACTTCTAACACCATAAACCAGTATTGCCTGGTTTTGAACTTCATGTTTTTAATAAATATTCATATTTTTATAAATATGTTTTATATTTTTATATTTATATTCTTCTGTGACAGTTCCTTACACACACACTTATGCTTTCCATTGCTCTTCATTCCTTTCTGCATGTCTACATTTCCATCTTCCTTTAAAACTCCCTTTAGTTGTTCTTTTTTTTTTTTTTGAGATGGACCCCCAGGCTGGAGTGCAGTGGTGCGATCTTGGCTGTCTGCAAGCTCTGCCTCCCGGGTTCATACCATTCTCCCGCTTCAGCCTCCCAAGTAGCTGGGACTACAGGCACCTGCCACCACGCCTGGCTAATTTTTTGTACTTTCAGTAGAGACGCGGTGTCACCGTGTTAGCCAGGATGGTCTTGATCTCCTGACCTTGGGATAGGCCCACCTTGGCCTCCCAAAGTGCTGGGATTACAGGTGTGAGCCACCGCACCCGGCGACTTTAATTGTTCTTTAGTGCAGACCTGCAGGTCACAGATTTTCTCTATTCTAGTACTGAAAAACGTTCATTTCAGTTTCATTTGTGAAGAATATTTAAATCAGTAAAGCATACTAGGTTTATAATTTATTTTTCTTTGTGTTCTCTTATTGTGCTAAAATATACATAACACGAAATTTACCATTTTTAAGTATATGATTCAATGGTATTAATGACATTCATGATGTTGTGCAACCATCATCAATATCCATTTCCAGAACTTTTTCATCATCCGCAAACAGAAACTCTGTGCCCATTAAACAATAATTCCCCAGTCCCCTTACTTTCAGTCCCTGGTAACCTCTATCATACGCTATGACTGTGGCTATGCGTACTTGAGGTACCTCATATAAGTGGAACCGAACAGTATTTGTCCTTTTGTGTCTGCTTGCTTTCACTTGGCAGAGTGTTTTCAAGTTTTATCTATGTTGCAGCATATGTCAGAATTTCACTCCTTTTTAAGGTTGAATAGTATTTCATTTTATATCTATATATATGCCATACATTTTAATCCATTCATTTATTGATGGAATTTTAGTTTTTTTCCACGTTCTAACCATTTTGACTAATGCTGCTATGAACACTGGTGTGCACACTAGTTATTTTAACATCTTCACCTTCAAAGATTATAATACTGATGATGACTAAATTATCACCCAAGACTATAAAAAAAAAAACAAATATAATGATCCTTTGCATTTTGCACACACGTCACAATTTTGACTTCGCAATCTATGAATGGAGCCGCTGTCTGGGGAATACAAAGACAAAAAAATTCTACCAACTGAACTTAGTTTTAAAGAAACCTGTTGTTGGGAGAGGAGTTCGACAGCCAAAGATCTGCCTATGAACCACCACAAATGGAAAATTACTTTTCCAAAGAAGAACCAGACAAGTAGATGATCTTTTGATGTCACGTTTCCCCTAACTCCTAAGTTTTCTGTAAGGGAGAGAATGTGTTCATGCCGCCAATGCGTCAAGATCAGTGAGAGGTGCTCAGTGAGGAAAGAGCACTTGGTGGAATGCGGGCTGCCAATTACAAATCTCCGGATAAAACAGAGAGAAAATGCGACTATGTCTCCACTGGAGATCCCTAGTTAGCCAACAGATCAGGCGCAGGGTAAAAAGACAAGTGTAATTATTTCAGTCTACTAGAAGAGCAAGAAAAAACGCCTTGGGGTCTACATTTATGCTTATTAACTACTAAACTAAATGAATTAGTGTTTGTCAGGCAAAGAAGACTGAAAAATCAGGAATTGCACTCCGTAACTGCCACAGTGGGTTTCTTCTTCATTTTTTATCAACATAATGTAAGTGAAATAATTGGAGAAATGAAAAATGAATTTATCATAAAAAAATGTATATTTTAATATTTAGGTATGTGGGCATAGCTAAAACAGAAGATAATAGGAATTAATCAGTATGAATGCAGTAGCTACGAATGCAGACTAATATTTATGTATGTGGGCATAGCTATAACAGAAGATAATAGGAATTAGTCAGTATGAATGCAGTAGCTACAAATGCAGACTAATATTTATGTATGTGGGCATAGCTATAACAGAAGACAATAGGAATTCATCAGTATGAATGCAGTAGCTGCAAATGCAGACTAATGTGAGTGCATTATATTGGCCCGTCAGACACCTAAGAAGTGTTGCTTTTGGTGACTTGATTAAGTTGTGAACAAAATTTTTTCAAACAATCTATTAATTTACATGGCAGTTGCAGTCATAACACCTTCTATTTATATTAAACATTACAAAATCATTTTGCATTTTACAAGGAAAATAGATTCGTTTTTATAATCATGTAATTATAAGCAGGTTTTTCACCTACATGAATATCTGGCAAGACCATTAAATGTGCAAGCAATGCAGAAGAATTTTCCTTTTTTTTTTCTGAGACAGGGTCTCACTCTGTCACCCAGGCCAGAGTGCAGGGGCACAATCACAGCTCACTGTGCAGCCTCAACCTTGTAGGCTCAACTGATCCTCTCACTTCAGCCTCCTGTGTAGCTGGGACTACAGGCACGTGCCACCGTGCCTGGTTAATGTTTATATTTTTTTGTAGAGACGAAGCCTTGCTATATTGCCACAGTTTGTCTCAAGCAATCCTCCCACTTCAGCCTTCCAAAGTGCTGGGATTACAGTCATGAGCTACCGCATCCAGTCAATACAGGAGAATTCCTCAATATGTAGAACTGTTTGGCACATTACAGATCGTTTCATACCCCCGGTCCAATTGCACTAAATCCCAAGAGACCTCCCATCCCTGTAACAGCCACAACACAGAGGCAAATAATCCTCTGAAGTGTATCACCATCATTGAGAACTTCTTGTCCTTGTAGGTGATTAGACGGAATTGTTCTAGATAAGGAAATGACCTGACGATGGCCCCTCAGGGCAATAGTAAGGGGTTAAGGGAAGAAGACCAGGGTACACATGTATAAAAATGTAATTTGTATGCTTCCACAAGTGCTAGAGACCTAGGCCTACCATATACCTGAAACCCAAAGATGGTAAGACCCTGAATAAGGATGTCTTTGTAGTTATTTAAGAATTCCATTTCCAGGTTTGCCATAGAGTAAGTGGGCCAGACGTGGAAACGGAATTCCTGGAAATAACTAAAAATATTAATTGTGGAGCCAATTGACTTTAAATTGTCCTTAATCATGGGCGAGAAACAATGAAAGCATCAGACACAATGCCTGAAGATCAGCGCAGAGCCCTTTACCCAGTCACCTGGATTGTGAAGCCTGGGTTTTGTTTGGACAAGAACCTAAAAGTTTCCCCTTACTTGTCATTTTGTACCTAGATCAGAAACTGAGTATGGATCTCTTGTTAAACTAAGAAAAATGAAGAAAAGTTACAACCTGAAAACTACGGCACATCACTGTGTTTGATAAAGCATGGTGGTCTGTCTCAAAAATGTTATTTTGAGAATTCCTAGTCTTGTGTTCCTTTACAAGGAACAGAAAACAGGCAGGCTGGAAAGCTGGACAACAGATTTAGCAGAACTTCTAATCATTTTAGGTGGAAAAAACATTTGTGGATGGGTGAATTATTTGGGTCCAGAAGTTAACATTATTAGGTGACATCAACATAAATGGCAGAGTAAGGACCTCTGAAAATTATCTTCTCCACAGAAGTGACTAGAACAACAGCACAATTGTCAGAATCAACTTTTTCACACAGCTGGAAATTAACCCACATCTTGCAATAATCCAGGAAGCATTCATTTAATAAAAACAGCAGAATCTTGGTAAGAGCAGTGAGCTCTGGGTGTTTTGTTAGTTGGTGCAAACGTAATTGCAGTTTTCTCATTGTTGGAATTTGCCATTTGATGTTGGAATACATTCTCAAATAAATGCGGTTATGTTATACATCATTTTAATGGGCATTTCTCACTATGCTTTTTTGTTAATGACTTATTACTTGCTATTTATTTTAGACTATGGAAATGATGTTAGACAAAAAGCAAATTCAAGCAAGGTTTTTATTCAAGTTCCAAATGGGTCATAAAGGAGCAGAGACAACTCACAACATCAACAATGCATTTGGCCCAGGAACAGTACAGTGGTGGTTCAAGAAGTTTTGTAAAGGAGATGAGAGCCTCAAAGATGAGGAGTATAGTGGCAGGCTATCAGAAGCTGACAACAACCAGTTGAGAGCAATCATTGAAGCTGATCCTCTTACCTACGCAAGAAGTCACCAAATAACTCAACAGTGACCATTCTACGATCTTTCGGCATTTGAAGCAAATTAGAAAGGTGAAAAAGCTACATAAGTGGGTGCCTCATGAACTGAGTGAAATTTTTTTTTAAATCGTCATTTTGAAGTGTCATCTTCTCTTACTCTACACAATAACGAGCTGTTTCAGATTGTGATGTGTAACAAAAAGTAGACTTTATACGACAACCAGCTCAGTGGGTGGGCCAAGAAGCAGCTCCAAAGCACTTCCCAAAGCCAAACTTGTACCAAAAAAAGGTCATGGTCACTGGCTGGTGGTCTGCTGCTGCTGTGATCCACTACAGCTTTCTGAATCCTGACAAAACCATTACATCTGAGAAGTATGCTCAGCAAATCAGTGAGATGCATGGAGAACTATAATTCCTGCAGCCAGCATTGGTCAACAGAAAGGGCCCAATTCTTCTCCACAATAACGCCCAACCACACATCGCACAACCAACGCTTCAAAAGTTGAACAAATTGAGCTGAAAAGTGTTGCCTCATCCACCATATTCACCTGACCTCTCACCACCAACCGACTACCACTTCAAGTATCTCCACAACTTTTTGCAGGGAAAATGCTTCCACAACCAGCAGGATGCAGAAAATGCTTTCTAAGAGTTCGTCAAATCCCAAAGCATGGATATTTAACTACAGGAATAAAAACTTACTTCTCATAGGCAAAAATGTGTTGATTGTAATGGTTCCTATTTTGATTAATAAAGATGTTTTTAACCTAGTTATAATGACTTAAAATTCACAGTCCAAAACCGTGGTTACTTTTGCCCCAACCTAATAGCTTCCCCAGTCCTATTTCCTGAGCTCCAACTCTATGACAGCTTTGAAAACCAAAAGCCCTCACTCATTATTAAAACCAGCAGCCTACTGTGACAAACTGCAAATGGGATAAACCCAAAGAGATCCACACTTAGACACATCATAATCAAACTGTTTAAAGCCAAAGACAAAAGAGAGAATCTTGAAAGATCAAGAGAAAAGCAACACATAATGTACAAAGGATCCTCAATGAGAGTAACAGCTGATTTCCCATCAAAAACCATGGAGGCAGAGGCAGTGGGATGATGTATTCAAAACACTGAAAGAAAAGGATTGCCAACTCAGGAGTCTATAACCAACAAAGCTATCCTTTAGAAAGGAAAGTGAAATTAAAACATTCCCAGATAAACAAAAATTAAAACATTCCCAGATAAACAAAAACCAACAGAATGTGTTGCTAATAGATCTGTCTTCCAAGAAATACTAAAGAGTGTGTATACAGTTGAAATAAAAAGACACTGGACAGTGACTCAAATCCACATTATTAAATAAAACAGCACTGGTAAAAGTACACATAAGTAAATATAAAAAAGAGTGTAAATATACATCTACACACACACACACACACACATATATATAGTAACCCCTTTCTTCTCCTCTGAAACTTAAAAGACAACCATATAAATAGATAATTATAGATTGGGCATGGTGGCTTAAGCTTGTAGTCCCAGCATTTTGGGAGGCTGAGGTGGGAGGATCACTTGATGCCAGGAGTTTGTAACCAGACTTGATGACATAGTGAGACCCCTGTCCACAAAAAAAAAAAAAAATTAATTATTCAGGTATGATGGCATCTTCCTGTAGTCCTAGCTACTTGGGAGGCTGAAGTGGGAGTATTGCTTGAACCCAGGAGTTCAAGGTTGCAATGAGCTATGATTGTACCACTGCACTCCAGCCTGGGCAACAGAACAAGGCCTTGTCCTCTTAACTTGTCCTCTTAAAAAAAGAAATACATATATATATAATATAAATAAAATAAATCTACATTTATGTGTGTATATATACACACATACATAAATATACATACACACACATATAAATGTAGATTTATTATATGTCTATGCACACACATATATATAAATGTAGATTTATATTATATATATTTAAGGCCAGGTGTGGTGGCTCACACCTGTAACTCTAGCACTTTGGGAGGCCAAAGTGGGCAAATAAGCTGAGCTCAGGAGTTCGAGACCAGCCTAGGTAAAATGGTGAAACTCTGTCTCTACTAAAAATACAAAAATTTATCTGGGTACAGTGGTGAATGCCTGTAATCCCAGCTACTCAAAAGGCTGAGGCACAAGAATCACTTGAGCCCAGGAGGCAAAGGCTGCAGTGAGCCGAGATTGTGCCACTGCACTCCAGCCTGGGTGATAGAGTAAGACTCTGTCTCAGAAAAAAATAATAATAATTAATTAAATTTAAATTTAAATTTAAAAATAAAATATATATTTTATATATATAAAATAATCTACATTGTAGATAAAATAAATAAATCTGCTATATATAAAATAAATCTACATTGATGGTCACACAGACGTAGATGTAATTACATAGAAGCAATTTATACAACAGTAACAAATATATGTAACTTGTATAACAATAATAGCATAAAGGAGGTTAAAGAGAACAAAACTATATTGAAGCAAAATTTTGTAGATAATTGAAATTAACTTGTTATTAATATAAACTACATTATTATAAATTAAGATGTTAATTATAATCCTCAGGGCAACTACTAAGGGAAAAGATAGATAGTAGATACATACATACATACATACATACATACATATATGACTTCCCCAAATTTCCCAAATGTATCTCTTAAGGGAATTAAGATGGTATACCAGAACATATGTATAAACAACACTATTTAACACAAAATAAGGCAGTAATGAAGGGAATTGAAAATTAAGGCATAAGATATAGAAAAACAGCAAATGGCAGAACTAAATCCTACTTTATCAGTAGTTATATTAAATGTAAATGGGTTAAACACTTCAATTAAAAGGCAGAGATTGGCACAATGGGTTTACATAACATGATTCAGCTATTTGCTGCCTGTAGGAGACACATTTTAGATTCAAAGACACAAATACATTGAAAAAAAAAGATATAGCATGCAATGGTAACCAAAAGAGAGCTGGAGGGTTATAATAATACCAGATAAAACAAGTGTTTAGAAAAAAAATTGTTACTAAAGACAAAAAAAAAAAAAAGACATTTTAATGATAAAAGAGTAAGTACATCAAAAAGATATAACAATTATAAACATATTGCACCAAACAACAGAGCCCTGAAATAAGTGAAGCAAAAACTGACAGACTTGAAGGAAGACAATTCAACAATTACACTTTAAGACTTCAGTACTCCACTTTCAATAATGCAGTGAACAACTAAAGAGATCAACGTGGAAATACAGAACGTTAACAACTCTACATGTCAGCTAGATCCAAAAGACAACTATAGAAAATACCACCCAACAGACTGGGCATGGTGGCTCATGCCTGTAATCCCAGCACTTTAGGAGGCCAAGGCAGGCAGATCACAAGGTCAAGAGATTGAGACCATCCTGGCCAACATGGTGAAACCCCATCTCTACTAAAAATACCAAAAAAATTAGCTGGGCATGGTGGCATGCATTGCTGGTGCATTTCATGGTGTGAAACTCTATCTCAAAGAAAAAAAAAAAGAAAAAAGAAAAAAAAAACTACACACACACAACTTATTAGAGCTAATAAATGAATTCAACAAGGCTGCAGAATACACTATCGACATACAAAAAGTCAATACTTCATAATGAATAATCTGATATTGAAATTAAGAAATTGACTTTGTTTACAAAGTAACAAGAATAAAATACCTAGGACTAAATTTTAAAAAGAAACGCAATACTTGTACACTAAAACTACAAATCATCGTTGAAAGAAATTAATGAAGACTTAAATGAAAAGACACTGTATGCATGTATTACAAGACTTACTATTGTTAGGGTCGCCACACTCCTAATTTGAGGCACAGATTCAATGTAGTCTCTCTCAAAATTCCAGCTGCCATTTTTGCAGAAATGGACAAGATGACCCTAAAATTCATATGGAAATGCAAGGGATCTAGTAGGAGCCACAACAATCTGGAAAGAGAAGAACAAATTTGGAGATTCATACTTCTAGATTTTAAAACTTACTATGGTAATCAAGACACCTGGAATTGGCATAAGAATAAACATATAAATCAATGGAATAGAATACACTCAGAATAAACCCATACCATTACTGGTACAAATGTAAAATGGCATACCTGCTTTGGAAAATATTTTGGCAGTTCCTCAAAATGTTAAACATTGAGTCACCTATGTGATCCAATTTTTTGATGTCTAGTATACAATAAAGAAAAATGAAAACATATGTCCATACAGAACTTGTACACAAATGTTCGCAACAGCACGAGTCATAGCATCCAAACAGTGGAAATAACCTCCAGGTCCACTAACTGATGAACAGATAAACAAAATGTGGCCAATCTATACAGTGGAATATGATTCAGCCATAAAAAGGAATTTATCTGGGTGCAGTGATAGATGCTGATAGATGCTACCACATGGATGAACCTTGAAAATAATATGTTAAAGAATCCAGACACAAAGGCCATATGTTGCATAGCTTTGTTCATAGGAAACGTCTAGGCAAATCCATAGACACTGAAACTAGGTTAGTGATTGCCCAGGGTTCGGGGTAAAGGTAGAGTGGGGAGTGGTTGCTAAAGGGTACAAGTTTTGGGGGGTAGTGATGAAAATGTTCTGGAATTAGATAGTTGTGATGCTCGTATAACTTTATGAATATACTAAAAACCACTACATGACATACCTTTAAAAGGTGAATTTTATGGCATGCCAATCATATCTCAATAAAATCATCCAGTCCACATATTTTATGGTTCCATTAATATGAAATGTCCAGAATAGGCAAATCTGCAGAGACAGAAAATAAATTAATGATTGCCTGGAGCTGGGGGGTTGGGGTGAAATGGGGAGTGATAGGTAATGGGTGCAGGGCTTTTTTGGGGGATGACGAAACATTCTCAAGTTGTTTTGTTGTAAGATTGTTCCAGCATATGTGAATATACAATGAACCATTGAATCACACTTTAAATGGGCGAAGTATATCTCATTAAAGCTTTTATTTTTAAAAAGAACACTAATACAAATATGTATTTGTCACTAATTTGTTAAGTATATACATTCCTAAGAACGAAATGTTTAGGGTCAAAAGAAACTACATGGTTAGAAATATTCTTCCTTATTTACATGTTTTATAAATTCCATTTCTGGAAATGCGTGATCGTTGCTGATATAACAGCAATGGCAAACACACAGCTCTTACTATGTACCAAGCACTGTTTTAAATGCTTTACACGCATGAACTTGTTCACTCTTCACAGCAGCCCTGTGAGGTAGCTACTCTTTGTCTTCCTATTTTACAGATGAGGAAACTGAGACACAGAGGTTATTCAGTTTCTCCTGTAGTAAATGGAGCCAGAATTTGAATCCAGATAGTCTGGTTTTGGAATCCAGGCTCTTTGCTTTTCACTTAGGATAATCATAAGGTTTTCACGGAACCACAAAGTTCTCAGTAAGCTTTGTCAAAATTATCTCTTGGATTCCATTTCAATATAACTTACTTTAGGTATTAGAGCCTAATGGTTACAAAAATGAGCTGTGGACTCAGGCAGAGGTGACATGAATCCCAGCTCTCTACCTTTCAGCTGTAAGAAACAGGGAAATCACGAAATCTCTCCAGACCTCAGTTTCATCAACCCATAAGATTCGGATAATCCTACTTTACAGAGTTGTTGTAAGAATTAAGATAATTCATATAAAAATATCAAACACATCACCTATTAAGTAAAGTGTAATCCTGTAAGAAACTATTATTATATATAATTTTTACTATTCAATTTCAGATCAAAAATGATGTTCCTCTTTCTTCCAATTATTCTTTGGTACCAAAATCAAGGGTCAATTAAATGAGCACAACTATATCAAGCTGCAGCGTTCACAGAACTGGATTCCTATACCTGTGAATCCCAAGACAGCTGATATTTCACACTGAAACTGATCAGGTTCATGGAGCTCACTGGAGCTTTTCTTCATCTGAGGAGGGCAGTTTTAAAAGCCTGATCTCACATGAAACCCAACTCCACCAAAGACTCACTGACAATCCTCTATCTGTTATATCCAATGGTCATTTCAAGCAATTCTTAATTCTTGAAGGATTTAGAAGACTGACAATTAAAGTCAATTCTGAGTAAGATTTCCAGCTACCGACACATTATTACTAATCCTTACAACAACTTTGCCAAATAAATATTTCACAGATGAGGGAAAGTTTCAGAGAGTTGGATTTTTGTACAGGGCCAAACAAGTAGAATGAAAAAAGCATGTAAACGCACTAATATTCACTAGTAATAAGTAATACGGTTTGGAAATCTTCAAACCTATAAAAATTTAAACATTATTAAAATTCCTCCTCTCTATTGTATGGTTTTATTTTTAGCACTGATAAGTTTTAGTCCATATTTGTTCTCTTTAGAATAAAAATCATTTCTTCCATGAGTGCTAGCAAAAGCAGTGTGGAATAATAAAAATATTAAGTAATACTGTCACTAAGAAGGTTGTCATGGAGACAGCTCTGGATAAGGACTTGGAATGCAGGCACGGCTCAGCCATCTGCAGAATGAGGAGAGGGAACAGGATGATCTCTGAGACCTCTAACATGCAAATGCTCAATGATCTGATATCGACATTGTCTTCACCCGTGTCAGCTAGGCTGGCCATTCCATTTAGTGAGGGCATGCTGTCAATGTGGCCAGATTCTTGGTGCAATTTAGAAGTTTCTTTCTGTTCCATGGTCATAAATGCCACCTCTGACTCATGCGTGGCTCACAACAGAAGTCAAGCAAGGAGCACGCATTTATCATTGCAAATTAATTAGCTCCATTGGAAGTACACATTAATGGTATCTTTACATAGCAAGGGAACATGCTATTATTATTAATGTAAAACAAAGTGGCCTGAGGCAGTGCAGCTCCTTAAGTGTCTAAAAACTAGAAGGCAGTTTGGCATGAAAAAGAAGGGGGCTCTCCTAACTTCTAAAGTCAGATAAAAAAGGAAAAAGAAAAAAGGGGGCTCATGTACTACAAGTTGAATTAAAGACTCCTCAGTCTGGAAGAGGCTACAGAGACTACTGCCTTTGATGGACTCAAAGTGGTAACACCTACTCACCCGTAGTAAACTTCACAGACAGCACTGTTCTGACCTAAGGGCCTTGTTACAGAGAAAGTGTGTTCCCCGTTGCTTCTGTCTCTGTCATCTCTACAAAATGGCCAGACCTTCACACATTCAAAGAGACTGTTAGTCCTCTGTCCTCCTCTTGGTCCAAGTCATGTCTATTACTCAATTCCCATCCTATTACTCTATTCTTCAAGTTCTCTTTCCAACTTATTTTTTTGCACCCAGTCTGTCTTTGCCACTGATTCTTATTCCCAGCCTACAAACATGCTCAAGTACTCCACCCCATCCTAAAAATATCCCTTTCCCTAACACCTGCTCCTTCACGAGCTACTTTGATATTTCTCTATGTCTATCCCTGTAGCACACCAAACTTGTTATAGTTAAACAAACTTCACTCTCTCAGTAACCCATCATAACAATAAACCCTCTTAAAGCAGCAATTAACTTCCTAAGAGCCACAGCTGGAGTTTACCTTGTTGGCTTATGGAGTTCATTCTCATATAGATGAAATCAGGTTAAAACTAACACTAAAGGCAATTTAAAGAAGGCTGCGGGGAGAGGTGTTTGTATTTGGATAAAGCCTTTGAGTTGCGGAAGGAAGGCCACTACCCACCCAAGACATCCTAAGTCACCAGCACACGGGTCCTCTCTGTGATCAAAACACAACTGCCCAAAATTTCGTTTTCTTTTTTTTTTTTTTTTTGAGACGGAGTCTCACTCTGTCTGTCACCCAGGCTGGAGTGCAGTGGTGCCATCTCAGCTTACTGCAAGCTCCGCCTCCTGGGTTCACGCCATTCTCCTGCCTCAGCCTCCCTATAGCTGGGACTACAGACATCCGCCACCACGCCCGGCTAATTTTCTGTATTTTTAGTAGAGACAGGGTTTCACCGTGTTAGCCAGGATGGTCTCGATCTCCTGACCTCGTGATCTGCCCACCTTGGCCTCCCAAAGTGCTGGGATTACAGGCGTGAGCCACTGCGCCTGGCCCCAAATTTCTTACACCCTAAGGGCAATCTGGTCATTTTTTTCATGCTACTATAGATTTCATCTATGATTAATAATAGCCTTGTGATATCAGGTTTAAAAAAAGGTCTTATGAAACTGAAAAACCCAGAAGTGTTTTAGTCTGGTAATAAGTTGCTAAGAATAGGTTCACTAGCTTGTTTTTGTGCAATGCTCTTGACTTTACTCCAGATTGTTAAATCTGCAGCTGTTAGTCAACAGGTGAAGAGGATTCCCTAGGAGGAGCTACTATTTGAAGATCTTTGAAATATTGTGACTCACAGCTTTTGTTTAAATTGGTACTTCAGATTTTAATTCCATCCTTTAGCAAATGATCTTCACAATCAAAAAAACGTCAAAGATTTTTTTCAGGGCAGTTTTTTCTTTTTCTTTCTTTTTTTTTTTTTTTTTTTTTTTTTTTACTCTGTGGCCCAGGCTGGAGGGCAGTTGCACTTTGTCGACTCACTCCAGCCTTTGCCTCCTGGGTTCAAGTGATTCTCCTGCCTCAGCCTCCCAGGTAGCTGGGATTATAGATGTACTCCACCATACCCGACTAGATTTGTATTTTTAGTAGACACGAGATTTCACCATGTTGGCCAGGCTGGTCTTGGACTCCAGACCTCAGGTGATCCACCCACCTTGGTCTCCCAAAGTGCTGGGACTACAGGTGTGGGCCACAGCGCCGGACCTAGAGCCCATTTCTTTGTTTGTTAGTTTTGTTTTGTTTTTTTGTTTTTTTGAGACGGAGTCTGGCTCTGTCGCCCAGGCTGGAGCGCAGTGGCGTGATCTCGGCTTACTGCAACCTCTGACTCCCGGGTTCAAGCGATTCTTCTGCCTCAGCCTCCTGAGTAGCTGGGATTACAGGCACGCGCACTGGAGCCCATTTCTATAGGAAACAAGAAATTAGAGGAAGTAAGCATTGAAACTATCATAAGCAGTTTCATTTCAATGAATGCAAGCCATGTATTACTTATCATCTATTATATAGCAAATTATGATATCCTGGTGATTGTGATTTTGAATTTTAATTTTCTATGTGTAATGGTTTACTACAAAATAAATAATATATAATCGTTTAAAACTTAAAAGAGCACCATTCTCTGATGGGCAGGAGGATTAGCTGAGGGCACACCCAGTCCTTGGTTAAAGGAGGTCGGGTTTCCCGTGAATGCAACATCAATCCTGCACGTGATTCACCAGGTTCGTAAAAATTAACATGCGTAGACAAATGACCACCGTCGCTTCCGACAGCTTTAATAGGCATATTTAATACATGTTTAGGTTAAGTTCATTATTGGGAAATAGGAGTCTCCTTTTCATGGCAGCAAACAAAAGTCCTTTCACAATATTGCTCATGGGCCATTCAAATCCCCAAATGCTGAAACTCCTCTGAGGGATGCGCTGAAACGAGAGAACTAAGAATAAAACCAGCGATGAAGTGGAGATGCGGAAAGACAAAGGGGAAGCTCTCAGGTGTGTGTCCGTCCCCAGGCGGTCCCTTTCTCCGCACCGCTTTGGTCCAGCGGGTACTGCCGCAAGTCCCAGTGTGAGCAAGCCCGTCCTGGATAGCCGCGTGTGTGCGGGGAGGGGCCCAGGTGGGCTGTCCCAGGCCAGGTTCCCAGGGAAGCTCTCGGGGAAACGCCCGGAGTGACGAGGGACCCACCGGGACCCCACCAGGGACCCCAGCCGAGCGCGCGCCGCCGAGGGTGGGGGTGGGGCCGACGCCCCGGCCACCCGGTTACCCGGCGACAGGATGCCCTGAGCGGGGCGGCGGAGCGGGCGCGTGCGGCGGCTGTTGCGAGAGAGATGAGCCGCGGCGATGAGCCCAGGTAAGAGTTGGGCGGGGCTGGGCTCCTAGGGGAGCCGCGGGAACGGAGGGCAGCAGAAGGGCATTCAGCAGGCGGCTCCCCGCTCGAAGCCCCGGGGCATCCCGGGTCCGCCCTTCTGCACTTGCCGCACATCTCCTGCTCGGCCCTAGGGCTGAGCACCCGCTGCGGTCCCCTCCTCCGGCTGTGATTACAGGTTAACTGCGCGGTCTGCCGCCGCTGCCCGCCCACCGCGCCCTCGGGCGGCCGCTTGCGGAAAGCACCGTGCCCGGCCCCAAGCCCGGCCTGTTGCCATCCCTCCGCCCCGCCCCACCCTTCAGCCCTGACCCCGCCCCACTCCTCTGCCCCTACAGGTCCCGCCCAGTCTCTCCGCCCCATCCCATCCCTGCGCCCCGCCCCAGCCTTCAGCCCCGCCCCCTCCTAATTATCTCCGCTCCGCCCTCCCCGCCCCATCCTTCCGCCCCGCGCCAGCCTTCGGCCCTGACCCCGCCCCGTTCCTCTGCCCCCCGCAGCCCCGCCCAATCTCTCCGCCCCATCCCATCCCTGCGCCCCGCCCCAGCCTTCAGCCCCGCCCCCTCCTAATTATCTCCGCTCCCGCCCTCCCCGCCCCATCCTTCCGCCCCGCGCCAGCCTTCGGCCCTGACCCCGCCCCGTTCCTCTGCCCCCCGCAGCCCCGCCCAATCTCTCCGCCCCCCCCCCCCCCCCCCCTCCCCATCCCTCTGCCACGCCCCCACCTCCGCACCACGCCACGCCCCGCGACCTAACAGCCCCGGACGGTTCTGTTACAGAAAAGCAGCCCCAGGAAGAGGATGAAGTTGACTCCGTTCTCCTTTCAGCGTCCAAGATCCTAAATTCCTCGGAGGGGGTGAAGGAAAGTGGCTGCAGTAGCACAGGTAAAATCGCCAGGCTGTAAACGCCTCCTTTATACACAGGCGGCAGCACCTGGCCCGCGCCACCTGCTCACCTGGCGTGCTTCCCACGGCCGTGATGATACTGACAGCAGCCGCCACGGCACTCGCGCTTTGTGCCAGTGCTGTTCTATCTAAGCACGTGATGGATCAACTCTTTAATTCTCACAACACTTCTACGCAGTAGGTGCTGTCACGATCCCCATTTTGCAGATGAGGAAACGGGCACAGAGAGGTTAACTCCCTAAGGTCACACAGGCAGCATGGAATGGGGCGGGCATTCAGCAGGGCGGCTCCGGACTACCTGTCTTCACCACCACTCTATCCTACGTTGCTTCTCTGAATGCTAAGTAAGAATTGTTGAGTTTTTTGGACACACACTAAAACGATATGCAGTCAGCCCTCGGTATCCGGGAGTTCCACATCCTTGGATTCAACCAACCACAGATGGAAAATATTCAGGGGGAAAAAAAAATTTAAAAATAACAGTACTGCAATTTTTAAATGCAAATTTTGAACAGTATAACAGCCATTTACATAGCATTTAAATTGTATAAGGTATTACAAGTAATCGAGAGATGATTTAAAGTATATAGCAGGATATGCATAGAAGCTATGCAAATACTACTCCATTTTGTATTAGGGACTTGAGCATCTGCAGATTTTGCTATCCGCAGAGGCTCTGGAACCAATCCCCTGTGGATATCCAGGGAGGAGTGTATACCTTTTCTAAAGAAAACTACTTCTTACAGTAAATATTTATAGACTACAGGATATTATATGGGGAGGATGTTTGAAATAGCCACATAGCTAAAGTTTTCAATCTCCACATAAACTATGAATAAGATGGGGGTACCCAGCTAGGGGAATCTGAGGACATTGAAGGTGGAGTCCCAGGCGACTACACGCCTCTCAGAGGAGCCTGCTGTGAGGTGACATGCCGGGGAAGGAGCAGAGCACGGGGCAGAAGAAGGGTCTAGACTGATGTGCCACGCCTGGACCCCCAGTTGCCCCTCTGTAGGATATGGATAATCCTGATGCCAAAGTGCTGAGCCCCAAGAGGTCTGAGGTTGGGACAGGATTTCTGCACCGTCACCATCCAACATCTTCACAAAATGCCTTGTTGGGGCCTGGAAAGAAGAGACTAGAGCAGTCACACCTCAGCAGACGGAAGACACCCGGGTGCCCAGGCACCCCAGTGGAGGCCAGCAGGACAGGCACTGGCCAGTCCCCTCTCCGCCCTCCTGCCTCCACCCATGAGATATGCAGGTTTCCCTGGGCAACCAGGAGGGGCAAAGGGGACCCCTAAAAACGGGAGAAAGAGTCCTCACAGAGAATTGAGACATTGAGGTAGCTCTGTATTTACCTCAAAGAGAGCATGTAAGGTCAGAGGAAATAGAAGTACCTTAATTTGGCAAGCTCACATGTTTTCTAACATGAAGGAGGCTTAGGGTTCTGGAGAAAAATGCCAATATTTATAGAAAATAGTTACATGCAAAATAGCACATGTATTTGTTTAAGAGTTACAGTCTTTCTTGTCAGAACACAGTGGTTACAGGTATGGTGTTGACATAGGACAGGTTCTCAATAAACACCAGTTATCTTGAGTCAGGGGCCACCCAGGAATTTCCTGCCTGCAACTACAGGCAAAAGTAGGAGGTATGGCTGGCGCCCTTCTCTCTATTCTCCTGTTGACGCTTCATTGTCACCAAGTGATCCATTCCCTGAGTACTGACAAAATAATGACCTGATTTGCATAACTACTGCCAGGTTACAAAGAGTTATAGAATGTTCCTAAGGTCTCTATGATTTGAGAACTAGTGGTTAACCTAATTCACCCTTACTGGAATGGGTTTGTGAGAGACTTTTGAATTTGAGGATGACCAGGGTATTGTTCCCAGCACCCTGTTCTACCTGAGTCTTCATTCATTCATTCATTCGTTTGT